CCCAAAGAGATATTTGTACCCCACATTCATTATAGCACTATTCAATAAAAACTAAGAAATGTAAACAATCTAAGTGTCCAGATGAATGGATAAAGAAAATGTGACACACACAGACACAGACACAGACACACACACACACACACGTATGCACGCACACACACAGAGGAGTATTATTTAGCCATAAAACAAAGGAAATCCTGCCTTTTGAGACATGAATGGACTTCAAGGGCATTATGCTATGTGAAATAAGTCAGACAGAGGAAGGACAAACACTGCATATTCTCACTCATATGTAGAACCTAAAATAAAAATAGAGAGTAGAATGGTGATACCAGGGGCTGGGAGGTGGGGGAGACAGGGAGATGTTGGTTAAAGGGCACAAATTTTCAGGAATAAAATAAATAAATTTTGGGATGGTGACACCATGGGAGACTTTTAACAAAATTTTAAACATTTTAAACAGTGTTAGCTAACAATGAAGAAATGCTTTTAAACTTCTAAAAGAAAGTTACAATTTAGAATTTTAAATTTTTTACATCATAAAATAAATGACCAATCAGGAATGAGAATAGCATTACACGTTTACAGACATGCACAGAAAGATCTTAAAGGGGTTAATTAAGGATGAAGTCAAGGAAAAAATAACATTTTAACAAAATGGTGACTATAATTAACAATTCTGTATTATATACTTGAAAGTTGTTAAACAAGTAAATCTTAAATCTTATAAGCACAATTTTACACAAGCTCACAGAAGCTCATTTATCTTCCAGTTTTAGCTGCAAAAAAAAAATCTTATAAGCACAGTTTTAAAAAGGTAATTATGTGAGGGGATGGAGGTGTTATAACCTTACTGTGGTAATTGTTTTGTAATATATATATATATCAAACCACCACACTGTACACCTTAAATCTGCATATATTATATGTCAATAATATCTCAATAAATCTGGAAAAATAAAGGGGAAAAATGCTGAGCTTGGATAAAACAATATGTGAGGGTAAATCTGGAACCTCAGTAAAAGAATGGGTCTTCTTTGATTCCTTCTTTCATTATATCAGTATCCACACCAAAAATCTCTTGAAATCTATCTTTAACATGAATGCGAATACATTTACTTTCATATTTCATGGCAGCTGTTTGTGAACATTTCTTAAGTGAACCTACCATTTTTCTAATACAAGGCTTCATTTAACAATAGAAACATATTCAAGTAAAAACATATACCTAGGTAAAAGTAAAATGATATATGAGTAGAACCATCTAGTCTGGCTTGATCTTAAGTCTCATATGACAAAAGCAATGCCTTTTGATAAGTTAAAATGTTAATTTAGTGGAAAATGTCAGTCAAACTGACTGGTTGGCACTTGATAATGTTCAAAATTTCACTCAATTTCTAGGGTGCAAAGACAAAATTATAATCATATTTTTGAAAAGGTAAAAACGTTAAAAACTAATATGTATGCCTAGTAAACATTAAGAAAATTCAGGTTAGAGTTAATAATAGTAAAACAGGGTCGCCTGGGTGGCTCAGTTGTTAAGCGTCTGCCTTCGGCTCAGGTCATGATCCCAGTGTCCTGGGATCGAGCCCTACATCGGGCTCCCTGCTCTGCGGGAAGCCTGCTTCTCCTTCTCCCGCTCCCCCTGCTTGTGTTCCCTCTCTTGCTGTGTCTCTCTCTGTCAAATAAATAAATAAAATCTTTAAAATAAATAAATAATAGTAAAACAAATAATATGTACTATTCAGCATAATTAAAGATAAATAAACAGAGTTCATTTATCTTGAGGTGGTTGTCCCCCAGATCAAGGAAATCTTTGGTTACAACCACAGTTTGGTGCCCACAAAAAGGAATACAGTGATTCTGTTGTACTATAACACTGGTCAAAACACGAGTACTGTGTACATATATAGGGACACATTTTAAGGGACTCATTTATAAACTAGGCAGGCAACTAGTCAGGTAGAAAACCAGTCATTCTAGAAAAACACACCATATCTGAAATGAGTAAAGAAACTGGAACTGTTTATCTGAAAAGAGAAAAAACTCTAAGAAAGTCCTTCCATCACTATTGGCACTAACTGGCAAAATTTCTGATTCAAAACAGCAGCAGACCTATGCATTTATCTCCCATTCCTATCTACATGAGCAAATACAACTTCTAGAAGAATGAGAAAATGCTGGCTTATAAAGCAGAGAAAAGGAAGTGACACCAAGAAAGCAGCAACAGAGAGAGCTTCCTGCCCCCACTGAATCCAGGTGAGACTGCGTTTCAGGGATGGCAAGTGAGGGACTGAGCTGAGAACATGGCTGAATTCAGGTGCCTGCCTGCAGGGCTCTTATGGAATCACTGAGCGCTCCATCTCTGTGTGCAGCAAAGGCCCACAGACTCCCCTTATCCAGACAACCAGAGACAATGAAAATGCTCTTGTAAATACAAAATAATTAAATGGAAGGATTGGATGAGAAAGTCAAGAAAGTCTCCCAGAAAGCAAAGTAAGAGATGGAAAATATGAGAAAGATAAGCGACAAGAAAGCCCCAAACACAATTGATAGAAATTTGTAAGTAGAGAAGGAAATAAATTATCAAGGAAATAATATAACACTGTTTCCCCAAATTGAAAGGAAACAATATACTACAAATTGACGGGTCTACTGAGTGCTTAGGAGGAAGACAGGAAAAAAGACAAACTTAAACATACCACTGTGAAATGTCAGAATAACACAGCTACAGAGGAAATTCTAAAAATCATCAGAAAGAAAACACAGGTCACCCACAAATAACAAAGATAAGCCTAGTATTAGACTTCTAATCTGCAACAGTGTTAGCTAACAATGAAGAAATGCTTTTAAACTTCTAAAAGAAAGTTACAATTTAGAATTTTAAATTTTTTACATCATAAAATAAATGACCAATCAGGAATGAGAATAGCATTACACGTTTACAGACATGCACAGAAAGATCTTAAAGGGGTTAATTAAGGATGAAGTCAAGGAAAAAATAACTATTTTTTAATAAACAAGAAACAAGAAAAAAAGATCCAAACCAGGAGAGAAATGGCAGTAATCACCAAGATGACATTTAACACCAGGCCAAGACGGCAACCATCATATGGAAACTGAAGCAGAGATATTCTGTAAGGGAGAACGCCAATAAAAACTTGAGTCTGCAACAGAAGCAAAAAGTGCAAAAAAAGAGAGCCAAACAACTGGAAATACCAACAAACACAAAACATCTTGGATCAACTGTGAAGCCTCCCATACAAATTAAACCAGGGAGACAGTGTATTCCAAGGAACAGAATGGACTCCAAGGAATAAACAGAATGGGTAAGCATCTGAAAGATTGTAAGAATATGACAAAGAAAACAGAAGTTATGTCTAGCAAGAAGAAACATGAAAGGTACATAGAAAACAAGAAAACAAAACAAAACCCAACCTCATAGCTACAGAGAACAGACTGTTGGTTGCCAGCAGTGGGGGCAGGGAGGGGGTGAAATGGATGAAGGGGATCAAAAGGTACAAACTTCTGGTTATAAAATAAATAAGACATGGGATGTAATGTACAGTATGATCATGGTTAATAATACAGTATTGCGGGGCACTTGGGTGGCTCAGTCGTTAAGTGTCTGCCTTCAGCTCGGGTCATGATCCCAGGGTCCTGGGATTGAGCCCCGCATCGGGCTCCCTGCTTGGCGGGAAGCCTGCTTCTCCCTCTCCCACCCCTGCTGCCTGTGTTCCTTTCTCTCGCTGTGTCTCTCCTCTGTCAAATAAATAAATAAAATCTTAAAAAAAAAAACAAAAACAGTATTGCATGTTTGAAAGTTGCTAAGATATATCTTTTTTT